TGGATACACACACACATGACTCAAAGTCACATAAAATGGATTTAGATTTTTCTGTAGTTGCTCGACAGCAGATTAAGAGTTTAGTGAAGCAGGGCTTTCTTGTAGTTACCGGCCAGACTTCACAAAACAAACATGCCAAGGATAGAATATCCATGGTCCGCCTCGGTTTCCTGACTAAGATGTGACGTCAGTCTGGAGGGAAAAGGGGGGCCCATTGAGATCCCCTCACTATCTGCTGAGGATGTGAGAGGCTGTGGCTGCTTCTGCACCACCCCCTTCATTTCCCCACAATCAACAGGAAGACTGGAGGCCGGAGAGAGCAGCCACACTCTGCAGGAGAGGAAGGACGTAGAGGTCCAGCTGTACAGTCAGAACAAAGGAAAACAATCAAGGCAAAGGAATGAGCAAGAATCAGAAGGAAGTGAAGAAAATTCAGTCAGTTTATCTGCAGAACTTGGAAAAACTAAACCAGGGGATAAAGCCAGACAAGAAAAGTTGGAAACCAAAGGAAGGAGACTTTGCTGTGCAAACAGCGATGGAAAAGCTGCGACAGCCTCCCATAGCTGGAAAGGTAACCAAAGGCTCAGCACACACAAACAGAATCAGCAGAGACCTTACCTGCTCCATCTGCTTGGATCTTTTCAAGCAGCCAGTGTCTTTGCCCTGTGATCACACCTTCTGCCAGGGGTGCATTGAGGGTTACTGGACTGGTCCGCGGGGCCCCGGGCAGGGAGGCACAGGCTCCTGCCCTCAGTGCAGGAAGGTGTACCCCGGACAAAGCTACAGGCCCAACCGCATTGTTGCCAACATAGTGGAGAGCTACTGTCAAGGTTTGGAGGAGAGTGGGACTGGACCCCGCCTGCCAGATGTTGGGGTGGCAGAGAGGGTTCCTGCTCCGGTCCCACGCTGCAGCAGACACAGAGAGGAGCTGAAGCTCTACTGTGAGGAGGACCAAGAGCTGGTGTGTCTGGTGTGTGGTCTCTCCCAGGAGCACAGAAATCATACCATGGCGTGTGTCCAGGAGGCTGAACAGAAGTACAGGGTGAGTGAAGCTTTAGGTAAATGTCTGTAATTACATTTCCAAACTTCGAAACATCAGGATGCATCTCAGGAAGTATACATCCAATCTTCCAAATTATTATTTGTGGGTGGAAGTGCTCCTTCTCTAGTACTTTCTATGGTCCATCATACTTTGTACCATGTTAATCACTGCTGTGCTTCCTTGGTTTCATATGTATGAACAGACGACTTAAAGGAAACATTTGTGCTAATTCATTTATTTACTTTTTTATCTTTTGTTTTTGCTCCAAAACATCCAATAAAAGTGGATGTGACATTGGAATTACAAGTAAAAAGCAGGCCAGTGTGCAGTAATGTTGTGTCTCTGTCTTGTCAGGCATCTCTGAACAGCTCCATGGATTCCCTTAAAGCTGAACTCAACACAGCGCTGCAGTACGACAGGGAGGCCGAGGAGGAGGTTAGGAAGCTCAAGGTAAGAGGAAATACTTCCAAAACAAGATTTCTGAATGTATATCACAATGCACTCAGTGCTATCACCACTGCATTTCCTATTCCACACTGAATGCCCACTTTGACCCATTTAATTTCTTAAAATCTGATTTCACCACAAAGAAATGAATATATCTACAAAACAAGTGTGATAAGCTTCTTTATTTCCAACACAGAATGAACTGAAAGAGAGATCTGCCGAATTTGGGCTTTTTTCAAATTATAAACATTTGTTTCCACAGTACAAAAAAGTAAAACATGACGTGGCTTTTATGCTCCCATCTTTGTAAAGGTAAGTGATTGCTCCCAGTGACAATATGCATCATCCTCCACCTACTTAGGAGCACACGGCTGACCTGAAGCAGCGCATTGAGGCCCAGTTCAGCGACCTGCACCAGTTCCTGTACCAAGAGGAGAAGCTGCTGCAGGTGAAGCTGAAGACAGAGGAAAGGAGAGAGCTGATCCGACTGGACGAGCACAAGGCCCTGCTGTGTGTGGAGATCTCTCGTCTGCAGAGAGCCGTCCACGAGATAGAGGAAAAGCTGAAAGAGCAGGACCCGTTTACTCTGCTCCGGGTAAGTTCAGCTCATATGAACTTCATACACGATGAATACAGTCCATCTGGAAGTTATTAAGAGCATGATGAGTCAGCTCTGGGGATGATTAAGGCAAGAAATGCTGAGCTTTTGATTTCAAACTTATTTTTCTTCTAAAATTATTCATGTCACATTGAAATAAGAAGAAGTGAAGAGGTAAAAATCTGGGCTTAAAGTTACACATTGTGTCCTGTATCAGACATGTGTTACTGTGCCAAAATGTTAATTAGGCACAGAGCCCAACATTCAAGATTCAACTGAACAGGGTGTGACCAAGTTTGTAAACCATTCTTAAAAGCCATAAACATGTCGATCTAGTCAGTTTGTGTGTATTTGACAAAAAAAAAAACAGTGTTGCAACTTTTCTAATAACAAAAGACTTGAGCAGTGAGTTAAACAGGATGTAGGCCAGTGATCTCACTCGTTGATCTGGAGGATAAGGAGTTTTGTTTAGGCACAGGGCCATACTCAGGCCATGGCTGTGGGACTTTCCCCCGGCCACAGGGAGATCCCACAGGGTGGGATAGCGTGAGCTCAGACATTGATGTAATGTGGAAAAAAGCTTTCTCTTCTTTCAGATACAACAAAACTAATCACTGGTCTCTGTCTCTCTTTTCCTGTGTTTATTCGTGTGCTTCATTTCAGAGCATCAAAGTCCTCCTCCAGAGGTGAGTGTGGGAAAAGCTTTTACTATCTGATCCTGCATAGGTTTTGTTTTTATTCTCTCTCTTTACTGTTCTTGCTTGTTGCTTTTGTTGGCAGACCGTCGCTGAAGTTTGAGAAACCTGCGTTTACACCGCCCAGTCTGTGCGAGGGTCGGTTTGCAGGGCCCCTGCAGTACAGAGTGTGGAAATCCATGAAAGGGAGCATTTATCCAGGTACTTCAAGTGACTTTTGGTCTTTGTGAATGTGAAATACAAGCACTGAATTACACAGAAACTAACACAGATCATCTAAGCATCAATATGTATTATCAAAGAATCTCTTAAATTCTTTATTTTATATTTTTCCTGTTTTTAGTTCCAGCGGCCATCACATTTAACTCCAGCACGGCCAACCCTTGGCTCAGCCTGACCTCCTCCCTCACCTGTGTTCGCTATCAGACCTTTAACCACACCGTGCAGGATAACCCCTACAGGTTCAACGCTGCCCTGTCACTGCTCGGAAGTCAGGGCTTCACCCATGGACGGCACTACTGGGAGATTGAAGTCTACAGCAGCACAGTCTGGACTGTGGGGGTGGCACGGGAGTCAGTGCCCAGAAAGGGAGTCATCAAAGCCCTCCCAGCCAACGGCTTCTGGACTCTCTCCCTTTCTTATGGGATACAGTACATGGCTGGCACTTCACCCCCAAAAGTTCTGTCCCTGGAGGAGCCACTGGCCAGGATTGGAGTGTACCTGGACTACAAGAGGGGGCTGGTGTCCTTCTACAACGCAGAGAGCATGACACACCTCTACACCTTCAGAGAGACCTTCACCGAGACGCTGTACCCTTACTTCAACCTGGGCTTTCTGGACAAAGTGCATGAAAATGAGCCTCTTAAGGTTTTCTTACCAAAGATTTAAAACAACTGCGAGAAAAATACAACTGAAAAGGGAACAAAAGCATAAAAAGTTACCAAACAAATGTTCTTTGTTCTTTCTATTGTACAGAATTAGATACAACAGACAATTTGTAATTGTGAATGTGCAATAAATATTATATCCATCCATTAGAAATGTATGTATCTTAAAGGAGCCCTGTGCCTTTGTGGGCATTGCAGCCTATCTTTGCCTGTTACCGCCACCTGTTGATCAGTAAAATAGGGTGACACCATTGGCAGGACTGTGTATATGCATTCCCGAACAAAACAGGGGCCTACTTCATATAAGAGGTCTAAAACTCCAGAGGGAACCTTTAAGTAACACATTTGTAACACACAGTTCAGTTTGTAGACCGGATCTACTGCCACGCATTTCATTTCAGAGAAGCTGTGCTTCAGTGAAGAATGTGAAACTGTCTGGGTACCTGACTGTTGTGAGATTAATGAAGTGTGCTATTATGTTTATTTTATCAATTCAATAATCTTTCTTGTGCATGATACACTTATACTTTCAATAAAATATCACTCTATACTCTGATTGTTTTGGACATGTTGAAGTTTAAGTTAGTTACATGGGGTCATATCATACGAATGATGTATTCGGTGCATTCAAAGACCTCGGGAGATGTTTAACCTTTTGATTGGAGCTGGTAGCAGAACACTAATAACAGGTCTTTTTTATGTGAACAAATGGTTTTAATTTTGGATATCTACTTTGTACTTGTTGTGCTAGATGCATCGACTGTACCAACTGTTTACCCTGGCTTGATGCATGTTAAGTGGCACACGCAGAATTATATGGTCGTTATTTTTAATAAAAGCATTTCTTCAAACTTTTTTCCCCCCCAAAGTGTGCTCATTCCAACAAATAAATAGAACATCCTTGTAATTTGATAATACAATGAAAATTAAGTTGAAAGTTGAAGCACTATTTTTAATTGTTCAAGATAAACTGTTAAGTCCCCATCCAGAGATCACATGATCACACCTGAGGTAGGTGGAACAACACAGTCACCCCCCTCAGATGCAATATCTTCACCTTAAAGGTAGACTATTGATGATGCCTTCCAACCTTTGTTGTTTTTTGAGCCCAGCCATGTTGTGTGTGTCCTGTATGTGAATTTCTTCATTTAATACAAGGCTGAAAAGCAAAGTTTCACTGTCCTGCCTGGTTTAAAGTATAAAGTTGCTCCTCTGTCCACAGCCAGCAGTAAGATAGCTGTCTCTGTAACCATGCCCACCGGTGATGTCAGAGTGTACTGACATCCTCCAAAGTACACTTATACATCCCTGGAGCGAGCTAAGAAATAAAATTCACTAGGGGTAAAAATCAAAAAGTTCTTTAGAGAAATGTTGACTGATAAAGCATGTAGGCTGAGATGTAAATGGAAAATATTGGATGGAATGAAGAATAGTGTTAATTTCACCCATTATCATTCTGTACTTTATGTATTTTGCAAGAGAATACAACACGCAGAAACACCAACCGAAAACATGTGAAAACACTGTCACCAACTAATGTAGGGAATGTTAATATACTGAAAGGGAACTCAAAAACTTTAAAAAATATTAAATAAAAGAACAGGTCTGATTTTGGGAATAAACCTACATTTTTTTCATCCTCCATCCTCATTTCCATCATTACCAGTATGTGCTTTTGTCCAGTGATATAATACAACAAAGTGCATCACATTCATGAGAAGTGATCAAACTTTCAACCTCAGACTGTAAAAAGTGACACAGTTCATATTATGATTGAAAAAAACAAACAAGGCAAACTATATCACAATATATACATTTTATATCTCAACACAGTGCTATGACGTAATAAGCTTATTACAGGTGGGGTGACCGAATTTACTCGAAGTTATCACTGCAAACTATTCCTTGCCTTTCATCCTATATAGCTATATAATGAGGGAGAGTAAAGATGCAATTTCGCTGCATGGCTTCACTCTAACAGATGTAAATGTAAAGTATGTGGGTTGGTGTTTGTGGTGTCAATCCATGCATTCACTCCCCGTCTGGAAATGGGTGTGTCACACCAAATGTTAGGGGTGAAGTCTCCATTTAGGTTTGGGGTAGTTTTAGAGAGTCACTTGCTTGCGTGTAACGTGTCCTGGAACTTTGTGCTTGTGTAGCGTACATGAAAGCCTTTTTTATTGATGCTGTCATCTGAGTGAAACTTCAAAACTATGGCGTCTCCAGCTGAGTAGACCTCCTCCGGGGCCTGGGAAAAAGAAAAAGGTACAGACAAAGAGATGGTTTTTGAAGATTCATTTAGTTTAAAGAGTGGTTACAACACAAAGCTGATATTTTTAGGCTTACCCCAGATCCACAATATCGCCCCAGCCTTGGAGACTTGATGTCAGCGCCGTCATACAGCTCCACGTAATCATACCCGCAGTCGGCCTCCTCCTCGATCTCAAACACTTGGAAGATGATCTCCACTCCGTAACCCTTCTCAGCAGAGACCACCCACAGACAGTCGGAGCCGCCGGGGTAGTTGTTATCTCCAAACTGGGCATGAGAGTAGAGATCTTTTGTCTTGACCTCGGCTTTTAGGCTTCCTCCACATTCTGGGAATTCACAACCACAAAATTAGAGGGGTCAAAAAGAGGAACTCGTAAAAGTGAGGAAAGAATGCAGCTTTATAAACACAGCAGAAAACAAACCCATAGTTGAAATGTCACATTTTTGGTATTCTATTCTTTCTCCAAAGTATAATTTTACTCATTTTCCAGGCTAAAAGTTATTTTATAGTTGCTTCGCCCACCTGCTCCATATGAAACCTCGAAGCCTCTCTTCTGCACCGAGTTGTCTGAGAAAAAACGCAGGAACATTTTGTTGCCACTGGAGATGACTGGAGACGGCTTTTTGGTGCCACAGAAGCGTCCGAGACTTGGGACACGTACATCTCGCCCGTCGTAGATCTCTAGATGGTCGTAAGCGCACTCCAGATGAGCCTCCATGTCGATCTCATTAAAAACCTGAGAATCAATTTAAAAAGCTGTAAATTACCTTGATCGGTCAATGACTGTTACTTCATGACATGTAATGTTTAAATAGAAAACAAGGAAACATCCATTGACATACAAGTTTAATACGATGGCCTGGGGTGGTGGACAGAGACCAGGTGCAGGCCTTCTTGCTGGGATATCTATCAGGCCAGTTGGGGCTGCTTATTATGCCTGACACACTGTTAACAACATGATCACATCCCGCTGAAAAACACAACACAGCAACATATCAGCGAACAATGAAAGCTGCATTACTGAGGGGTCACATCATTTCCTTATTCTTCAACACAACTGTCCTCTAGGGTATTTTCCTAAGCAAAAGCTTCCATCAAAAGTGAAGACTGTTGCAACAAAGGGACCATAAGTAGTTATAAGTAGTTCCTATAAAAACCATTCACACTGAGCCCCACCTTCTTCCCCCACATGCCTTTAAACCCACAGTCAAATGATACCAGAAGGAGATTCTCACGAGGTCAGGGCGAGGCGATCAACTCAAAGGACCGGTGAAGAATCAAACACTCACAATCAAAATAACAAATCTTATCCAGACTTATTTATAAATGTGGGTGAACTGACCCTTTAAACATACACTGTACCTTCCTTGCAGTCATGCTTATTATCATGCAGCATGAAGCCGCTGCGGCACTGGCAGCTGTAGCTTCCAAAGGTGTTCACACACTCGTGCTGGCAGCCTCCATTTTCTTTGGAGCACTCATCGATATCTGTTGAAAAAGTTAAATTAATTTCACTTCAAAATTCCTTTGCACAAATGTGAATACGTCAGAATAGGCTGCAAAAAACTTGCAGAACACACTGAGTTAACATTTTAGGCGAGTGCAAACACAAAGACTTTCAGTATGAGACAGATGTTTACAAAAAAACAATCCAGCAGGAATTTAATGGACAAATTATATAAAATAATATTCTATAGCCATTTGTGGTCTGATTAAACAGAACACATATTAATTTACGCTGGTATGGCATTAAGCACTCTATATATTTTCAAACTTGACATGACCATTTAAACCGCAGTTTCCACTGAAGACTGAAGCTGCCTGCATTGTTCTTGGATTGGGGTGATGGTCTGGATATTAGGTAATACTTCCTCAATATTTCCTTCCTCAATGCTTCCTGAATATTTCAGTCTTTATGACTTACCAGAAAAGAAGTGAGCCTTAAAGCCCCTCTTGGAGACGGTGTTGTCTGACTTGAACTCAATCCTCATGTTGTTGTGTTGGGAGGTGATGACCTCAGGTTTCTCTGCTCCACAGAACTTCCCATGAAGCTTTGAGTCTGAACTCAACCCGCTGTGCACCTCCACATAATCGTATTTACACACCTGATGGTAGAAAATTTTACTTACTACAAAGAACAAAGGCTTGTGAAATTGTGATGATTTTAGCAGGTTGTTTGATAAAACATCTGCAGAAACATGATGATAAATGACATTCATTAACTTACATCATTCCCTTCGGTCTCGAACACGTCAAACACCAGAGTAATGCGATACTGAATGGGTGCCACCAGCTGCCACACACAGTTCTTGTTGGGAGGGTATTCTTTGGGCCACCCGGGGGTGGTGAGGGAGCCATTCAGCTTGGTAATGAACCCGCCACAGGCAGCTGCTGGTGGGAGAGAGCAATGATTTTAGTGGTAGAAGTGTAAGAGAAAAACACTTGCATAACATAAATTAAAACCCATTGTGTTTCTGTATTCTCTAACCTACTATTTAATCCTTTAACTGTAAACAATGTCGACCTCATAATTTACAGGCTTTTAAATGCAAAGTAATGTCAAGAAATAAAGTGATACCTGAGTCATTGTAACAGGGAATTGTGGTACTGGAATGCATCAGTAATCAGAATACAATTATTTATTTATTTAAAATCAAAGAAATACACCAAATTATACTTAAGGGAAATATACTTCCTATTCTATACTTCTCAAATCAGTGCTGTACTGTACTGCCAAGGCTTAAAGAGACGTTGGAGCAAGGGAGCACTGCCCTCTTGTGGCAGAAGAAAAACTACCAAGCCAGATCACATTAAATGAATTATGTTAATGTGGAATATGTTCAGCATTGTTGATGTTTGGCATCAAGTCTTTGACATGTCATTCCTCATAAGGAAACACTAACATCAGCACAGGAGGAAGTGGGGAGTCATTTACCCACATTACAGTTTCAGAGCCTGCAGGTGGATGCAGAGATGGGAAATCTCTTATTTGTTTTCTGGAAGGGGGGTTAGATGATATGTTTGAGAAAAGTATTTATTGTCAAATTTTTTGTCACAGAAAGGGAATAACTGTGTTTGTGTAGCGGTAGACTTAAGTTGACTGGCTGGACTAGTTTGCAGGTTTCTCTTCCTGATTTGAAGTAGTGGTACTTTATTGTTGCTTGTCAGTATAGTGTTAGTGTGTGGAGTCTCAGTTGCACTACACTCACTCTCACAGCTGCGTCTGTCAGCTGCCAGCTCATATCCAGGGTCACAAGCACATCTGTAGCTGCCCAGCGTGTTCATGCAGCGTTGCTCGCAGTGACCATTGTCAGGCCTGGAGCACTCGTCCATCTCTGGCAAATGAAAAATTGTCAGAATTCGTTCCAAACCAAAAGTTTCTTTTAACTGCTGGCACTTTGCGACTGAAATGATGTTCTGACCTTTGAAAAAGTTGGCTGCAAAACCAGCTTTGTTGACCGATCCGTCAGATACAAACTTCAGCCAGAGATGGTTGGAGCTGCTTTTGATGTCGTCAGGTTTGTCATAGCCGCAGAAATGGCCAAGCAGCGGGCTGGTCTCCAAACTGCCATCCCTCACCTCCACATAGTCGTAGGAACAGCTGTCATGTCTCTCAATCTGCAGTCGGAGCAAAGGACAGTGAAGTTGGCAAAGAGACGTAATAGAAGAAGTTAGTAAGATCTGAGATGTTTTTTTTGCCTTTTGAGGTACCTGAAGGTATATGAGGTTTTAGAAACAACTATGATATCAGTTACTTCCTGGTCTTGAACCAATTATTTACAATTCAAATAGAGAGGCAAACAAACAATGAAATACAGGTGCTTTCTCACAGGAAAATAAAAGTGATCATAGTGATAGCTTTGTGAAGCATTCTCCCAGATTGGCCTTAATTATAATCTTGTTTTTTTTAATAACCAATGACAATAAACGTGAATTTACCTCAAATGACTGAAAGGAGAGACCAACGTTGAAACCCTCTGCTACTGTGATTTTCCACACACACACTTTGTTGGACTGGTAGTCATCGGGATAATTGGGTGACTGGATCTGGCCGCTGTCCCGATTCACATCTCCCCCACAGATGGCTGCGCAGGAGGTGAGAAGTGAGATTCTACCTTCAGCTGGTAAATGTAGTCTATGTAAAGAGCATATTAAAACCCACATATTGTCAGTGTTGTACCTTCGTACACTGCTGAAAAGCCTTTGCCCACCCAGCTGCTGCTGCTTCTGAATTCAATCCACAGTTGACTGTCAGCTGAGATGATTGGATCTGGAAGTGTGTCTCCACAAAAACGTCCTGTCAAAGCACATAAAAAAATAATGCCACTGCCTGTCAGTAACAACTTCACAGTGCTTAGTATAATGTATGTGCGTTACTGTATCAAGTTAATGATACAGTTGTTTCTGGATGATACTATCAGAGACCTTTCAGAGGAGCTTTTCTCCAGAACCCGTCCCGGACCTCCACGTGGTCATACCAACACAGGTGACTCCTGAAGAGATCCATGGAAGTAAAATTCAGAACAATCTAAGAGACAGAAGACACAGATAGATGGCAGATTGTTATGAGAGAGAAAATTGTATTGACGTCTGTCTAGATTCAGATTTACAAGAGCTGAAAAACCACACAGCATTGTCCTGTTTTTGTTACTTCTAGGTTTGAAAAATGTGCTGTTTGTGAGCCATGTAATGATCAATAAATTCTATTTGAGCTACTGACATTTTCTTCAACAGTATAAATATATAAGAGAAAACTGATTATTTTGAAGTAGATTAATTTACCTGGTGATTGATGTTACAGCTGGACAATAAATGAAATTCATTTACATGAATTTACATTATATCAAAATAAATTGTCACATTGACCTTAAATAATATTTTTTACAAACATCTGTGCACATAGTCTTTCTGTAACTTAGCTCACTGTTGATATGTTTGTCATAATTCATTTCAGTTAAAGAGTTTAGAGTGGACTGACAGGTTATTTAAATCATTTTAATTACTGGACATGGGAAGATTGTGATATGAGCATTCATTAAATCACTATCTTGATAAATTTGATCAACCGTCTACCCTTATTGAATTAATGCGTCAACACATTTTTCTCGACTGACCTTCTCTCCAGGAGTGACAGAAATCTTCCAGACACAGTGACCGTAGGCAGAGTAGCCGTTTGGAAAACCGGGAGAAGAGAAGTTTCCAGCACTCTCCTGCAGGTTGTCCCCACATCCTTTAACAACCACACACCATTACACATGGTTATACTACAAAAACATTATTAGTAAGTCCCAGAATGAAGAACAGAGGATATTTTAAACTGTTTAAAATCCTGTTTTAGCTTTAGTTAGTGCACATAGTGATTTTAAATGTGTGATTTCATTTCATGGATATGATCATTAAGTGGTTGTATTTTCTACGTATGTAATGCATCTTACTTGCACACTTGTAGAGTTTGCGGGCTTGTGCAATGTCCCCTTTGCTGAGCCTGGTCCTCTGTCCAATCGGTGGCCTGACTCCATTGACATCATAACGAGGCAAAATTGTGTCTAAGAAGATCCCTCTGTTTCAGACAAATCACAAAACATGAGCAATTCTTTCTCAGAGAAGATCAGAGTATCTAATGATTGAAAAATCAATTACAGCACAAGAAGCCTAATAAGGAAAAACACTTTCTAACTGCAATGTGAGGAAAATGTGGTTTTCAAAAGTTCACACAAAGACAGATTAGTGCAGGATTTTTATTTTAGATCCGACTGTTCAACACCTTGATACTTTATTGATTCTGATAATCTCTCACTGGGTTTGGAGCTCACTCTTGCACAGTTCCCATGGTGATGCACCCATGAATGACAGGCATGTGCAAACAGAGCGCTCTGAATGGGGCCTTTCGACGGTGCCAGCCGGCTCAGTGGAGCCCGCTCCTGAATGCCAGAGAAAAAGGCCACTCCAGCCCAAATTGTTCAACAAAGCCTGAACTGCCAGGCCTTTATTTAGCTTGGCTTGCCTCCATGACCCAGACCAGCAAAGCGGTGGTGGAGGTAAAAAACCAAAGCACAGAGAAAAGCAACGGGGCAACAACATGCACGAGACAGAAATGAAAAGGAGACTAGTGTGAAACCATTTCTGTGACAATACAGGATCAAATCGCCTGAGGCTTCCTATGGAGCTTGTTTAGCAGAGCTGAATAAAGGGACAAACAGCAGATCAGTGTGGTAGCACAACTGATAATGCAGCATGATATTGGCGGCAGATTTATTTTCATATGGTTGAGAGTGAACTTAACGCGGGACCCTCCAAATGACAATGAACCCTGTCAGAATATGCGGCCATTTCAAACTCAGATTTCCAGAAATGTAAAAGGAGTTAAAGCTGCAGTTGGTAACTTTTATGAAAATAACTTTTTATCATATTTGCTGAAACTTTCACTATATCCTGACTGTACATGTACAGGAGACAGATATTCTGTGAAAAAAAACAGGTTCCTCTGGCTCCTTCTAGTGCTCCTAATGGTATTTGCAAGAATCCACTGGGCCTGAACAAAAACAACCAATCAGAGCTGAGAAAGATAGTA